AAGTTCTTTCTAAACTCCTTCCTAATGTTAAACAGATCAGTCTCACTCCTGGACACCATGACTCTAATGAGGGTGTGATCATCTGTTCCAGCATCCTTCATAGCATAGTAGAGGGTCTCTGCAAGGTAGGCTCCGAATGGATTTCACAACAGCCAGGAGCACTTTCTCCAAGTTCCCTGATGTCTCCCTGTCAGTGGTTTCCTCAATCTGAAATCCTGATATAGTCATGTATTTGTCACACACCCTTCTCAAATGGGACACACTGTGTGTCCCAAAGATGGTGATAAACTTTTCTTCATCTGTTCCCCACTTCAGCTCTCCAGGCTGGAACAAGGCCTGAGCATCCAACTCAACTTGAGCTTCATTAAGTGCAGCATCAGGGTCTCTGTTTGCCTGAAGAAGGACAACCAACATCCTCTGATAGTACCCTGAGATATCCCCCACCACACCATCTTCCAGTCTCGATCCATATTCTTTTTCATACACTTGTTTTGTGGCTGTTAGTTCTTCGGGTGTCCTTGACGCAATAATTTCAGTCCATACTTTTTCATTTGTCCCGGCTCCCTTAAGAGCATGCCTCAGTTCACAGGCATCATAGAGTCGGGAGGGCTTCATCAGTGCCATAACTAACTTCTCAAACTTTCCAGTCAGCTCTGACTTCAGGTCATCCAGAAGGTTCCTGCCAAACAGAATTTTAAAAGCCTCAGTGATTTCCTGGCGCTGAGTGTTGCTTCGAGATGTCAGCAGGGTCAGGATGATCTCCTCATCCGTGCTTAGGCCTTTCATGGCCTTCCGAAGAGTTTCTGCATCAGCCCGGTCATCAAATCCAGGGAAGTCAGTCATGGTGCCTCTGAGAGCCTGAGCCATGGTGCTGTGGATCATGAGCTTCGCGGGGCTGACGGCGGCAGAGGACCGGCAGCAGACCAGGGCAGGGCAGATGCACAGCAAAATAACTCTTTAAAAAAGGAAACACAGGCCGGGTGTGGTGGCGCACGCCTTTGATCCCAGCACTCGGGAGGCAGAGGCAGAGGCAGGTGGTTCTCGGTGAGTTC